TATATATATGTGTGTGTGTGTGTGTGTGTGTGTTATATATATATATATATATGTGTTATATATATATATATATGTGTGTTATATATATATATATATATGTGTGTGTGTGTGCGTGTGTGTGTGAATCTGCGAGTGTGAAAAAGATTTACTTGCGGTGCATTGAGAACTAGTGCTGTTCAAGTGGGGCCTACGCATGTGCAAGAGATATCAGCTGCTTCACCTGACGGTAGCATACCCAGTTGTTTAGGCATCTGCATAGACAGAGGTCACCAACGCACCACAAATAAAGGAGATCGATATGAAACTTGACTTGACGTCTGGGATGACCGCTTTTCACACCCGCAGATTCATCTTTAAAGTTTAAAATTTATATACGTCATATGGAGCTGGAAAATGTAAATGAAAAACTCCCATCAACTTTTTTCTTAATCAGTGGTGTTTTGAGTTGTTTAATCATATTTTGCCAAGAATCTACTTTTGCATTTTTACATAAGCCCACAGACTATAAGGTAATGCGTGAGAACGGCCTTGATAAAGAAAAGAAGTTCTTATGACGAGAGGATAAATTGAGGTACAGCATTCCACCAGAAAATTGTTGATGAAAAGAAAGAGAGTCTGTAAATATGGCCTCACAATATTTATCATGATTTGGAATTGGTGAAGTGTTAAACTGTCCTTGCAAGTAGGTCAATTATACCGCTAAGGTGTACAGCCATAAGATAGAAAACTTGATTGAGGGCCTGTTTCTACTGAAAAGAAATAATCGATAAAAACTCGCTTTTTCGAAAAATCGCTTAGAGTTGGATTTGTCGGTCGTACAATCGTTGTACGACGCAGCGAGTGCCCGGCTTAAAATAAACAATAAAAATATTAAATTCTATTTTTCAAATTTTATAGCTCTTCACCAACAACAGATCTATACCAACTAAAATGAGTCTTTTGTACCAGTAAAAAGAAATATGTTCACACAATTTCAACCAATCAGAAATAAATACACACAGCATGAGTAAACATTAGTTTGAAATACAGTAATCACATTTATTGCACATGATAAAAACATCACAAACTGTGACTCGCCCATTGCTAAAGGTAAATCCAAAATTAACGTATATCAGCTTGATTGATAATTCTGTGACATGTTATAGTATATAAAGTATATGTAGGCCAACATTCCTGCTAGGAATCAGCATTAAGATGTATAGGTCCCTATAATTTACGATCCCTCCAATTAAAAACCACTTTTTTATGGTCCAAAGTATTACAAATAAGCTATTAGAGACCAAACCTGATAAAGACCAGGAAAACTAGGGAAACCAGAATTCCGAAAGTGGTCTTTAATTGCAGGGAGACCTGTAATTAAAACATGGCCAGAAATGCCACTCTCAAGACTCTTTCTCATTCTTATTGAATACATTTCCTTTTTTCTCCATTTTTTAGGGAAGGGCAGATGGGTCCCCCCCCCCTGAATCCGCAACTGGTAAACATGATTACAATGATTATTTAGAGATGGTGATGGTAATGTGGTAATGGTGATATTAAACTTTATAGCCTGGTTCTCACGAGAGCCCTAGTATCCGGATCGGGAGCTAACCATTAGCACATGCGTGAGAACGCCCGATCGGTTAGCACTAACAGTTAGCAATATCCGGATACCGCTAACGGCTAGCAAGCGCTGTCGGTTAGCAAGTTGAGTGCGTTTCTATCATCAACCAATCACACATATGCGCTTACAATTTCCAGTTTCTTATTGGCCAGTGATTAGACCATCATACATTATTTTTGGTATCCGGATCAGGATTTTCTCGCACGGCAGCTAACGGTTAGCAGGATCCGGATTCTGCTAACCGTTAGCAGTCATGTGAGAACATAGCATATAGCGCATTCTACAAAATTGTCTGTATGCACTAAGAAAGTACAGCCCAAGTGCACAAAACAAGGAAGAGGTGTCCTGTCTCATATTGTCTGTGCTTGTTCTTTGCTGTTTCCTTTATTGTCAATTTAATGTTTGAGACAAATAAATGAAATGAAATGAAAATGAAAAGAATTAAAAACAAAAACTAAAAGAAAAGTAATCAATCCAGAATTAAAATAGAGAAGAGAAAAGACAGGATTTTTTGCCGAGACTTGAAGACAGTCAAACCACGCAGTCTCAGGTATTTGGATCCAAAGCTTTGCAGCAGCAACAACAAAATAACGATCGCCACAAGTTTTAAGGTGACCAATGGGACAGTTGAGAATGGTAGATTAAGATGAGGTGATTTGCAAGTGGAAACAGCAGAAAGCAGTGAAATAAGATTGGAGAAGTAGTGTGGGGGGGGGGGGAGATTTATGGAGTGACTTGTATACAAATCTTGAAGTTAATTCTCAGATGAATGGGTAGCCAATGAAGACGATGTAGAGTAGTGAGAGAAATGGCCTGGAAATGGGATGGGAAACATCACAATGATGATGATAAATTATGAAAAACAAAAATATGAAAAATTTACTACGATAATCAACAGAGAAAATGCAAAAAGATGATGGGTGATGAAATAACAACAATTATCATGATAATTTCAGCTTATAAATAGGCATTTATATTTGTTAAATAACAATGATTGTGTTGTTGATAATGCTATAATGAAAGTATATTATTATGATGATGCATATAATTATGATGATGACGATGAGGAAGGCAATAATGATGATAAAAAATAAAGTATTACTAAAATTGAGTTGAAAGTTACTTCAATCATCCTAAACGTAACTAATTCAGATTTTGAATAATAAATCAATGTATAGATATATTATATGAAATAAAGAATTGGTGTTAAATATTAATTGCCTCTTCAGATTCTTAATATATATTAAATAATATTTATTGCAGAATATATCAAAAATACTTAAAACAATATACATAATGATATTGGGCATAAATTTGTAAGGCTGTCCACTAAGACTGAGATGAAATTCAAGATGCATAACATGAACAAATATCTCGAAAATGTCTGATTCAAAAAATAATCCTATTAATTTTGCTGAAAATGTAAATACTATGTGTTTTTATATCTTGGATTAACATGTGAGACTAAACTGATTTTGCTTAATATGGTTCAACCTTCAAATGTGATTGTTTATTTATTAACTTAATTGTATAATCAAAGTGAAATTACTTTCCCTTTTAACTTGACCACATAATTTTGCCTTTTAACATTATTACTGTCACAATGTGCACAAAAAAAAGATACAATGAATACACTCCTGGTGGCAAGAATGAAACAGTCTAAAGCAGCTGGTTAAAAGGTAGAGCTGGCAGAATAGAATCTACCAAATTCACCCAGAGATTGGCACAAGTTGCATGATACTGTCGGCCACTATATGTCAATTTGTTATTGTCTTCCGCACGGTCGAATGCTTTGCTTCGAGCATCAACATTAAGTAAACAAACACCGCAGGCCATGTTAATGTTGCTAGGCTCTGGATGCAATACAGCCATCTTGAAGATAAAAGACTTGTCATCAGGCTGTACAAAAAAGAAAAATCACATTTCAATAAATATATTTTAAGTATTGTTTGAAGGTTTGCATGGCGAAGTAATAATATATATTAATGCTTGTGGTACAGCACATAGATAATTCTGAAAAGAACTGTTGTTGTTGGTTGAGAATATCTCGATATTTCGATTGAGTTTCTTCAATCGTCTTCAGGAGAATAAATCTGCAGAAATCTCAAAACAGTGAAATATGTTTTGGTTGGTGTGACTTGTTGGTGATTGGTTGAAAACTAAACAATAGCTGAGACTTCAATTTACATTCATGCTGCATTATTCAAGTATACAAGTATTGCATTTGCAGATGACCATGATAATATGAGGCATGTCATGGCGAAATGGTTAAGTTGTCGCACAGGCCAGTATTGAGGAAATGAGCTATAATTTATGGGAGCTCAAAAAATTGCCAAAAAATCCAAACTTGTTTTTCACTATAGATCAACAGTTTAATGTCTTATTAATCATGTCCCAAAGTATTAGTTCTGGAAGTGGTAAACAAATCGTTTATTTAACATTATTTAGATAGTTAATTCTATTAAACAATGTATGCACAAATAAGTTTGGAAGGCAATTACTCAAAATCATGTTTATCTTGACTCTAAGAGTGCTGTATTTTCACATTCCAATAACTTGGGCTTTAAATGTACCAGAGTATGTGAAAATACCAATAACTTGAATTTCAATTTTTGCTAAAACATGCCTCATATAATAATGAAAAGACAGTCTCATTGTACAATGTTTTGCCCTAAGCTTTGTAAAGTTATTGGAACTCCAATAAATCTACTGTGTCGTAATGATTTACTGTACATCGAAAAAGCAACAAACCAAGGTCATATTTCAACTTCCTGATTCTAAGCACACTATCAAATTCCCATATTTGGGTATAATATGACATCATCACACCCATATATGGGCATATCACATACAATTTAAGTGTGTGGACAAAGCTTGAATCTGACAATACAGATCATCATTTTCTAAAATTATTTATTTTGGTATATAAAAAACATACAAAATGGTAGCACACAGCTAAAAATGTTAAAGAAAAAAAATATTTAAAAACGAATCTAATAATTTAAGCTACAATAAAATACATTGCACATTTAATTACTTCAATTCATATTTAACAGCTATCCTGATGAATTAAGGTAATAACATATATCGGAAACTTTCATATTGTAATAATAAATCTAATAGAATGTTATCTTATTAGATCATACTGTATGAACATGTATTGCTCTCATCTATGGACGACATATTATAAGAAAGATATTAACCATCTTAAAGACTTTTTTTATGCCTTGTTTTGCGAACTTGTTTTTTTTTTTAAAGATTTTTAGAAGGCGGAAAAAAGATTTGCTAAAAACATCATAGACAGAAGAGAAAATAAAAATAAAATTCTATTAGTGAATATAAATAGTGAAGTAATGGAATGGTTATATAAATTTAAATAATTAGGAAGAAATATACATTTTTTTTCAGATTTCAATTAGGCAGCGGAAGGCGTAATAAAAAATATGAAACATTTTTTCTGAAATTTCCATTTTTTCCTAATTGGCTAAAAATTAAAAATTTTATTTTTATTTGAAATCATCATTATATGGCTGGCAGTGGGTTTGCTAAAGAAGGTATGCAGAAAGTCTCATCTAAAGTATGTTAAAATGATGCTCTCAAGACGCTACTAAGACAACCTATACTAGTGCTAGTTCACTTTATATTCAAAACAATGTACCATCATTTTTTTTAATATTTAGAAAATCTACTTTTTGTTAAGGGATCTGTGGTTTGTTGGTTGCAGCAAATTAGTTCCACAGTGAGTTAAATTACTACGAATGAGTTTTCATTGGAATAGGGATTTAGTTTCGTATTTTCAATTTCCACACCCAAGTTCTGCATTCTC